GAGACAGGGTTTCACCATGTTGGCTAAGCTCGTCTCAAACTCCTAACCTCAGGAGATCCACCCACCTCAGCTTCATAAAGTGCTAGGATTACAGAGGTGAGCGACCACGCCAGGCTAAAGTGTTATATTATTGAAGGTTGGGTGTGAAAAGTTAAAGCCTAGTTCAATTACTATATAAAAAAAAATTAAAACCAAAGAGGTATAGCTAATCAGCCAAAAGCAGAAATGAAATGGAGTTATAAAAATTCTCTATTAATCCAAAAGGAAGTAGGAAAGGAAAAAATGAAAGGACAATGGCACATACAGAAAATTAGTTATCAGGGCCAGGTGCAGTGGCTCACGCCTATAATCCCAGCACTTTGGGAGGACGAGATGGGCAGATCACAAGGTCAGGAAATCAAGACCATCCTGGCTAACACGGTGAAACTCTGTCTGTATTAAAAATACAAAAAATTAGCTGGTGTGGTGGTGAGCACCTGTAAACCCAGCTACTTCAGAGGATGAGGCAGGAGAATAGCTTGATTCTCAGGAGGCAGAGGGTACAGTGAGCTGAGATCGTGCCATTGCACTCCAGCCTGGTGATAGACCAAAACTCCATCTCAAACAAACAAACAAAACCAAAAAAAAGGAAATTAGTTATCAAGAAAATGTAAATTAAAACTAAAAGATAACACTGAATGAAGAACAACTGGAATGCTGATAAATTTGCTAGTCTGAATGCAAAATGGTACAGTTGCTTTGGAAAGCAGTTTCTTATGAAATTAAACACATATTACTACACAGCCAAAAAAAACCCACTTGGGAGGTATCCAAAATGATAAAAACATATATCCATACAAGAACTTATACATCAATGTTCACAGCAGTTTTATTCCCAATGATCAAAAACTGGAACCATCCCAAATATCAAACAAGTGGTGAACAGACACACAAATTGTAGTATACTAAACTACTGATACACGTTACAACATGGATGACTAGCTAGGTATCCCAATAGTGATTTATTTACTGGGATTTGAGTTTTTTAAAATATGTATTATGTGCATTTTTTACATAATCATATATTCTTACATATATATAAATGCAGATGCAAATGTCTCGAGTAATGACAGACTATTGAGAGTGGTTACCAGTTAGCAGCGGACTTACAGGTTGGGGTGAGAGGGAATTGCTTTTTACTGTATATAGTGGGCAGAATTCTGAGACGGCCCCTAACACTGATGCCCCTGGTACACATGAACTTTCTCCCACTTATTTCAATCAAATGCTAACCTAGGTGTCGCTGAGAAGAGATTTTACAGATGTGATTAAGGTCCAAACCAGTCAACCTTAGAAATGCAAACTATCCTGGGTGGGCCTGACCCCACAATGAGGTAAATCCTTTTTTTTTTTTTTTTTTTTGAGAGAGTTTTTGCTCTGTTGCCCAGACTGGAGTGCAATGTGTGGTCTTGACTCACTCAACCTCCACCTCCTGTGTTCAAGCGATTCTCCTGCCTCAGCCTCTCAAGTAGCTGAGATTACAGGCACACAACACCATGCCCAACTAATTTTTGTATTTTTAGTAGAGACAAGGTTTCACCATGTTGGCCAGGCTAGTCTCAAACTCTTGACCTCAGGTGATCCACTCGCTTTGGCCTCCCAAAGAGCTAGGATTACAGGTGTGGGCCACCATGCCCAGCCATGAGGTAAATCCGTAACAGGGCCTAGGCACTTCCCTGTCAAAGACCTGAAGCATGAAGGGAACTCCCCCTGCCAGTTCTCCCTTGCTGGCTTTCAGAACGGAGTGGTTTCTAGGAGCTGACAACCCCCAGCCAGCAGGGAACTGAAGTCTGCCAACAACTGGAAAGAGTATGGAAGGAAAGCCTCCAGATAAGAATCCAGCAGCTGACTCCTTGAGCATGAAATCCAGAGCAGAGACGGCAGATGGGCCACGCCCGAACTTCGACCTACAGAATTGCGAGCTA